TCAAAAACAAATAGTCACCCTTTACAAGTTTTTGGCATTGAATGAAACCAATCACTGATATTATTTAGACACAAAAGCAGATAGATAGACGCAAATGCTTCTTGTCTTATATGCCCTTCCCTAAACCAAAAATGTTCGACATTTATGACGCATGTAATGCTCGACTATTAACTAACTTAGCTATTTCTCGTACAAATGCCACCTCTCCACATCTATTGAAAAAAGAATCGCAAACAGTGCTCTTCGTTTTGCATCACTCTTAACACGCACTTACATACTAATCAATAGTAGACGCAGATGAGGTCATGTCTGCGACTCCAAAATCAGTTTCTTCTCAGACTAGCGTGGTATCAATCAGTGCAAGGTGGAAACTAACATAAGTAAGAAAGTAAACGTTTTTGCTCCCTACATAATTTTCCGCGAGAAAGAGGACATCAAAGTATTCACCGAAATGCTTTTCCTCCAAAAATCGATTTCTATTGGTTCTCACCCACACCCTGCTAATTTCGTCCTTTTCTTTTCTTTTCTTTTCTTTTGTAGCAGTCATATATTCGAATGGAACTTACAGTTTTTGGCCAATGGAAAACAACGCCATTGATATCATATCAGGTCTTAATGGGAAAGCGATCAACTCACCTACTTATATAACACCTGGCATCACCAGTGGATATGCTTTAAAGCTCATCCGTAACAGTAATCAGTATATAACAATACCAACATTCATAAGCTTCGTTAATACCAGTTTTACAGTGGAAATGTGGATTTATCCTACTACTCTAAGCAATGGTTACTATTATGGACTCTTTACTCAATATGATACACAATCAGCAGACCACTCGTTACAGATGATGGTTCGAGGTTTACAGCTGACCTTAGACTTTTATGCTGATGGAGTTAACGGTGCAACGTCACTGACAACAAACACTTGGTATCACGCTGCCTTTGTCTACGATTATCCATCAAAAACACAAACTGTTTATTTAAATGGATACCAAGATGCGAGTGGTATTTCAAATCAGCCATATTTAGGCACGAGTGGTTCGATCAATATTGGGATGTACCAGAATAGTAGCAACTATAACTACTTTGATGGGTGAGGAAAAAAGACTCAATCGCTCTTTGTCTTTATTCAGTTGAGTTGAAAATATGCGGCTCTAGAAGCATTGTTTCTGCTATGTCGCAGATCAAATTTTTATTTTTGTATACTATTAGTGATGCTACAGAAAATGAGAAAAACTCATAGTATATTCGTGCAGATTCGGTCCTTAATATCTCTTATCAATCAGATCATTTTCTAAACAGTGTAAAACTTGAAAGAAAACATAAGTCACTGCGTTATTTTTTGACTCTATATTGTTCTTATATATTTAGTTACATTGATCAAGTTACGCTCTACATGAACGCTAGAAGTGCTGATGACATTCTTAACGATGCTACTTTGGCCTCATGGCATTCATTCGATTATGAAATTAGTTATGATTCAGGTCCAAACAAACTCCAAGGGACGGCTGTTGATGTCACATTAGCACCTGGTAAAGTGAATCAAGCATTAAACTTCAGCTTGAGTTCATCTTATTATCAGGTATGTCATCGACTTAGTTGAACTTTTTACTGCTAATACTGTATGAAAGAGAAAATCTGATACACAGAAGTTTATATGTTTTTTCTATAATAGAGCCTTCCGACTTAAGAACTGAATCTTCTCTCCAAAAGACATTTGAATAGCTACAATAAAAACCATGATAAAGTCTCATGTACAGAAACAAATATCTTCTAGGGTAAAGATGATCTTGAAGAACATATCAAGATCAAAATAAAATTTTCAACTGACTAATAGTCAGAACAAAAGATTCTTTATGGTCAAGGACTTTTTTAAAGTTTTGTTTTGCTCGTATATGCTACGTGCAGTCCTATTTCGTTCATGGAATATCCTTAAACATACTACGAAGGTATCTAATGATGCCATTCTATAAATTTTGCACCTAATATACTAGCAAATTAAGCCATCACGAAAATGTTTTTGTTTCAGTGGAATATATAGTTGTATAGGAAAAACAAAACAAACGGATTTTAATCCAAACTTTACCCATATATGCAGTTCTAGCGATACCTAGTGCTTTCAAATTTGCAACTGTAACAGTTATTTCTTTCTCATAACAAAAGAACGCATCTGATTCGAGTAAACATTTCCCAACAAGTTATTAGTTATAAAATCTATTTATGACGAAAATTGCTATCTTTTGACATTTCACAAGCTAGGATATTCCTGACATGGGATAGTTCATAACTCTGAAGGGAGAGTAAGAGAATTCCATTTTAGCTTAGTATGAGTATATGGAGGATACATAATCTCTGTTTTTTGGTTAGTTTCTTGTTGTTGTGAGTGGAAGACTTTTCGACTTTTAAGGATTAAATACATACAACTAAAATACAAAAATATATTGTATGTCATGCATAAGAGTGGTCAAGATGAGCGAGCGAATTAATATAGGTCGTTTCATGGATTCAAAGGGAATTCAAACAACTACTGCCATAGATTTAACAGCAAATTTCTATGTGCACATTTGCAAAATACTATTATGATGATATTTCAGAAGAAAGAAATTGCGTTAACTGAAGGTTCGTTAGAAGATTCGAGAAGTTTTTTGTAATAACTTAATTACACATTATTTGCCGAAGAAAGTAGTATAAAGAAGTTTAAAAAACGTTCCAAACTATGAAACGATCATACAATATAATCATTATTTAGATACCCGGATATGTTCTTCTCGGAGTCGTAAGCAGATCATTTTCGATGTCTCTATGGGTACAACGAACATCAACGGGCGGAGGAACTCTTGTTCATTACTCGACACAAACAGATGGACAAGGATGGTGTATTGTTCCAATAGGATTTTCATCTACTGGTAATATAACTGCTACTGTTTGGGCGCCACAAAACCACGTAACAGGTCCTGTTTTATTGGTCAACACCTGGACACATATTGCCATTACCTATTCGCAAGCAAATGGGCTTACATTGTATGTTAATGGAGTATCTGTTGGTGGTACAGCTCCACAGCCCAATGATGCACCAGGTACAGTGGTTATTCTGACATTGGGAAACTCACTAAGTGGTGATGGATGTAATTCACAGTCAATTGTAACAGGCCCATTTTCTGGCTATTTAGATGAGTTTTGTGTCTACTCACGAGAACTCAGTGCCAGAGAGGTCTTTGCACTTACTAAAAGTAAAGAATGATTTGTTGAGTCGCACGGTTTCTTGAATCTTTGCCCTCTTTCTAGATAAAACTTGCAGTGACGGAATTATGAATGGTGATGAAACGGACATCGATTGTGGAGGCTCATGTCTTACATGTGCTGCAGGTCAAAAGTGCATATTGACAAAAGATTGTGGTAGTGCTCATTGTATCAACGACATCTGTGCAAGTAAGTGTGATGCTTCTTGAGAAAACATTTATTCAAAAGATTCACTACTTCTTCTCTGAATAGGTGCAACATGTGACGATGCTATACAGAACAATGGAGAGACAGATGTCGACTGTGGAGGTTCGAACTGTTCACCGTGTGGTACTGGGAACGCCTGTTCTGGTGCTGGTGATTGTGCTAGTAAAAGCTGTGCTTCTGGGATTTGTAAAAGTAAAGAATGATTTGTCGAGTAACAAGGTTTCTTGAATCTTTGCTCTCCTCCTAGATCCAACCTGTAGTGACGGAATTATGAATGGCAATGAAACCGACATCGATTGTGGAGGTTCGTGTCCGGCATGCGCTGTACACCAGATGTGTAAAGTCGATCAGGACTGTAGCAGTGGCAGCAATAATATTTCATGCTTGAACGGCTATTGCCAAGGTAAGTACTCGTGTATGTAGTGAGGTGCGGTAGATTGGTTTTATTCAGATAAATACGCATTTTTTTGAGTTGGCCTGTCCTTGGAGTTTTACGATTTGTGTGATGTTTGAAGAGTTTGGTTAGAGATTAGCAACACAAAGAAAGGTTCGTTTTCATAACCGTTCGGTAGAGTTTTGCATTGTGTATTGTTTGCCAGGTATTAATTTGTTACATGTCTGTATTTTTTTGAGTCTATAAAACTGCATGTATAGTTGTATCTCTAAATTTCGTATGTGTTTTCTCTATATTTTTATAGAGGGAAGTCAAATTTCGGAAAGTGTTAAGTAAGTCTGCTCGATTGGTTATTTCTGAGAAAAGCCATGTGAATTTGTGGCTTATTCTATAGGCTTCGTATTGAATGCGTAAAAATCTGGTAGGATACGTTTTTAAGAAGTTAATAATATGTGTACGTTCAAGTACGCTTATGAGTGGTAAGGTGTTGTTTGTCTCAATATGCCGAGAGAAGCTCTTTG